TCCGTCCCCACCGACTCATAAAGCTGGCAATGTCCTTGATCTCATATTCTCAAGGAACTGCGCTACTTCTAACCTCTCTGTAAACCCGCTCCACACATCCGATCACTTCTTCATTTCATTCTCTCTATCCCTTTCCAAACATAACAAACTAATCTCTTCTCATCCTGCACTTGTCCGCCGTAACCTTCGCTCCCTCTCCCCCTCTAGCTTTGCCTCGTCGGTGCTCTCAGCCCTCCCTTCCTCTGATTCGTTCCATCTCCTGCCTCCAAACTCTGCTGCAGAAACTCTCCTCTCTACTCTCTCATCCACTCTGGACTCGCTCTGTCCTCTCACATCTCGGCAGGCTCGTCAGTCCCCTCCTGCTCCCTGGCTAAATGATGCACTGCGTGCTAATAGAACCGTCCTTAGGGCAGCAGAGCGGAAATGGTGGAAATCCAAACACCGTGACGACCTCCTAACCTATCAGGCTCTCCTCTCCTCTTTCTCTGCTTCGATCTCTCAGGCAAAAAGCACTTTCTTTCAAGATAAGATCCAATCTTCCTATTCCAATCCTAAAAAACTATTTTCCATCTTCTCCACCCTCTTGGACCCTCCAAAAGCTCCTCCCCCCTCCTCACTTCTGTCAAGCGACTTTGTTACCCACTTTGAAAAAAATGTTGATGATATTCGCTCTTCTTTTTCTGACTCACCTTTACTCACCGCTGGGTCACCAGACCCTCCTTCCACCAACACACTGACCTCCTTTTCCCCTCTCTCTCCAAGTGAGGTTCTTACCCTAATTACCTCTGCCCGCCCTACCACCTGTCCTCTGGACCCTATCCCTTCAAACCTCCTTCAGACTATCGCTCCTGATATTCTACCGTTTCTCACCCATTTCATCAACACTTCTCTAACTTCTGGTCACTTTCCAAACAGTCTCAAGGAGGCAAGAGTAAACCCTCTCCTAAAGAAACCCACTCTCAACCCGTCTGATGTTATAAACTACAGGCCTGTCTCTCTCCTCCCGTTCCTGTCTAAATCACTTGAACGCGCTGTCTTTAAACAACTCTCCTGTTATCTCAATCAGAACAACCTTCTGGATCCGCACCAGTCTGGTTTCAAGGCAGGTCACTCCACAGAAACTGCTCTCATTGCTGTCACGGAGGAACTGCACACTGCCAAAACTGCATCCCTCTCCTCTGTCATCATCCTATTGGACCTGTCTGCTGCATTCGACACGGTGAATCATCAGATCCTCCTTCGCACTCTCCAAAAACTTGGAGTTTCAGGCTCTGCACTTTCCCTCCTCACCTCATACCTGAAAGACAGGGTGACTTGGAGAGGGTCTGAGTCCGACCCTTGTCAATTAACTACGGGGGTCCCTCAGGGCTCTGTTCTTGGTCCCCTCCTCTTCTCCCTGTACACAAACTCGCTCGGATCAGTCATTAGCCCGCATGGTTTTTCTTACCACTGCTACGCTGATGACACCCAATTAATTCTGTCCTTTCCCCGCTCAGAGACCCAGGTCGTTGCACGCATCTCTGCTTGTCTAGCTGACATCTCTCAGTGGATGTCTGCTCACCACCTCAAGCTCAACCTTGACAAGACTGAGCTGCTCTTCCTCCCGGGAAAAGATTGTCCCACTCTTGACCTAACAATCAACATCGGCACCTCAGTTGTTTCCCCGACTCAGACTGCAAGGAATCTGGGTGTGACCCTAGATAACAACCTGTCCTTCACTGCAAACATCGCTGCTACAACCCGTTGCTGCAGATACACGCTTTACAACATCAGGAAGATACGTCCCCAGCTGACTCAGAAAGCGACTCAGGTTCTGGTCCAGGCTCTCGTCATCTCACGCCTAGACTACTGCAACTCCCTTCTGGCTGGTCTACCTGCATGTGCCATCCGACCTCTGCAGCTCATCCAGAATGCAGCGGCTCGTCTGGTCTTCAACCTTCCTAAATTCTCCCACACCACTCCGCTCCTCCGCTCCCTTCACTGGCTTCCGGTAACTGCTAGAATCCACTTCAAGACACTGGTACTTGCTTACCATGCTGCGAATGGATCTGGCCCTTCCTACATCCAGGACATGGTTAAACCGTACACCCCAGCGCGTGCACTACGCTCTGCATCAGCCAAACGACTCGTTGCGCCCCTCGCTGCGAGGGGGACCCAAGTTCCCATCGGCGAAAACACGTGGGTTTGCTGTCCTGGCTCCAATATGGTGGAATGAGCTCCCCATTGACATCAGGACGGCAGATAGCTTGCACATCTTCCGGCGCAAACTGAAAACTCATCTCTTTCGACTCCACTTCGAGCGTTAGAACTATTAACGAAGCACTTTTATACTAATAAAGGACTGGCTTACCTAAAGCCAGTTGAGTAGCACTTGAAATGTTTGGCTCTATGAAACCTGATGTACTTATATGATTCTGTTTTCTTCAAGGTTGTGTCTTCCTGGTTGAATGTACTTATTGTAAGTCGCTTTGGATAAAAGCGTCAGCTAAATGCAATGTAATGTAATTGCAGGGCCGGACTGGGACAATAAGTCAGGCCGGGAATTATAGACCCAGCCAGGCCACTACCAGTTTTCTTTTGTGCCATTTTCCTGGATTTATTTGTCAATATATACAGCGTTGCTGTGCAAATCTATTTAGGTTTTGCTGTGCACATCTAGGAACATATCCATGTGAACATATTTTAAGTGGAGGTGGACCTGAAATCCTCTAGGGCGGTCCGGGGGCATGCTCCCCCGGTAATATATATTTTTTAAATGTTGGACTTAAATGCATCAATCTGGTGCACTTTGAGGGGGAAATAAAGAGACAACACCTATTGAAATAAAATAATACTTTATTCCGAGTGTGCTTGCTTTTCTCTTTGGAAGTCATCACATAACGGCATTGTAATACACGGTTCGGCTGCATTAAATATTAAATATCTGCCGTAGTTCTGTATTTATAGAGCCCTGATGAGAAGACTTCTAGACAAACAGGAGGAACTGAAAACGTGACGTGGATCATAAATATATCAGCCATTAAACAACATCTATATTACTCATGAAATATTTATTAACGAAATATTTCAGAAATGAATTTGAAACTTTATCAAATTAGGCTTCATCAAAGCAGCAACATACTCATTTAAACCAGACAGGTCACAAAATAAAAAATGAGGCAAAGGAAACTCAGCAGAAATTCAGCACAGAGAACTGTCAATGCAAGGAAGCTGCATTGTCCATGGTCCTGAACTACAAATTATAAATGTAACATTTCAGCAATCAGCATTGAAACATGTGCTATTGTAAATATTTTGCCGATTTACAAATTAGTGAGATACATGTTCCTGTCGGGGCGCGCAGAATTTGTTAATCCTTGGTGGCACTGAGGAGAGGGCCACTCGCAAGTCCTGTTCAACAGAGAGCCGTGACCTCCTGTTGTTCTTCATGTAAATCAGAGTAGAGAACGCCAACTCCAGAGATGGGGTCGTTACTAAAAAAATGTAATATATTACATATTACTTTAAAAAAAAGTAATATATTACACTACTTCGTTACTATCTACATAAAGTAACTCGTTACTTTACTCGTTACTTTACTCGCCGAGCACGTACGAACTGCGCATGCGTGAGTGGCAATAACTTTCCTTACCAGCAGGCGGCGGTAGTGTGTATTTGTCATTCAAGACAGGCAACAACCGGAAGACAGAGAAGAAGAACAGACTACGTGATATAAACAAACAACAAATAGCGTGTGCGTTAGCTTCACCTTAGCATGTGTTCTTTGCAGGTGTGTGTTGAGGTTTGACCACGTGGTGTTTCCAGCAGTGGATAACAGCTTCTGGCCTGGACACAGTTTGCACCTCACCGTCACATTCCTGTCTATTCTTCGGACGAACTCAAAATAATGGGCATACCTCCACCCCTCGAGAGTTATCGCTGACTCAGCCATGTTTATGCAGCACTGCACGTGGAGATGTGGACGCGCAAGTTGCGCAGATTACGTACATATAAACCTACAAAGTACTGATATAGTCAATTAAATAATTATTTTTGTGTAGTTGTATATTGCAATAATAACGTATGGTTGTCACAAAATCCCACGGCACACCCGGACTTGCCTCACGGCACACCAGTGTGCCGCTGCACACCGTTTGGGAACCACTGGGTTAAGGTCTTCTTTTGAATAAGATGTATGTAGATAGTATAAGAAATGTGGAGAATATGACAGTTTAATGGTGGAGGTATGCACACATATTGATAGATGTCTTGTAATGCACTGTTGAGGTACCTGCGACCCAAGTTTTTCATTCATTCTTACACCGTAGTTGTGTATAATATGATATGTCAATAAACCTTAGGAAATCTTGAAAGGGATGTGCAAAATAGTCATTATATACAGTCTTTAATGAACTATTAGTAGAGAATAACGAGTAATGAATATACTTTATAGGGATCCTATTAATATCTAATAATACAAATAATAAAATTCAATAACGTGCTTTAACCACTAGGTGTCCCTTTCTATCAGCTGTGCACCGTTATGGTGTAAATACAGCCTATCTACCAATCGTGACATCTTCACGTCTCCCAGCATGGTAAATCGTCACATGTTCACGTTTTGCCATGATACCGGGTTGGGTTTAACTCTGCTGCTTTAAGTTTATAGTTTAAAAGGTGTAAAATGTGCAGATGTCAAGTAAGAAATACGGAAAGGCACTTATCAGTGATTTAATATCAGTGCTGGTATATTTACCATGAAACAGAGCAGATATACTGAAATCTATTATTTTAGTATATGAGCACACTCATGGAAGTGTAAGGGGCACACTTTAAGAGTGGAAGAATAATGGGGTGTATGTGTAGAATATTATAATGTATTAGTATTGAGGATGGTAAATAATAATTATAAGGCTTTATTTGTGTTTGTGAAATCTACTGGGAGATCGTTTTTCTTTTTACTGAGACTAAATACAGCAATAGCGGTCTCTGGTCCACACTCCAGTTTAGTAGATGGCGCTAATGCCCCTCAAACCATGCGTTTACTGCCGCTAATAGAGCAGGAGAAGAAGAAGGAGAAGCCGGATGTAAACAAGTCCGGTCCAAAGTCTCTTCATAACCGGGGAGACTTTATAAAGAGAGGACAGGTGTGTGTGTGTGTGTGTGTGTGTGTGTGTCATATTCTACATTACCATGTTTTATATTAATATGATTCTATTCAAATGTTATTTTATAATTTTCTGTTAATGCTTAATGTTTTACTAAGCTCTTTCAATTGACTTTTGTTGAAATGTGCTATATAAGCTGTGTGTGTGTCTTTGAAGCCCACCATGACTGATGTGAGTGTGCAGCAGTGGGGGGAGGTGGGGGGCGTGGACTTGTGGGTGCTGCAGTCGGCCCAGGTGCGGGTGGAGGTCCTCAGCCTGGGGGCCATCCTCAGATCTGTGTGCTGCAGAGGGAGGGAGGGCCACATGGAGGACGTGGTGCTGGGCTTCGATCAGCTGGAAGGTAAGGGGAACCTTCCAGAGGCTGAGTCCACTGAGTCAGGTGGTCCCTGGTGGAGATTGAAATATAAAACGTTTACATTAATATTGGTGCTGTTAAGAGGTATTTCAGGCTTAGGTTGTTTCTCCAATGTATTTATTCTTTGCACGTAATTGGTTGTGATGATCACATTCAATTCGATCACATTCTGGTCAATAATGTTGTGGGCTAAAAACGATGAACATTTAGCCTAGTTGTATGTATCTCTTATACCTTGTAAAGAGCATTCACAGTGGAGGAAAATTAAGATTGACATAATGAAGGGAAACTTGTTTTTATTTGTGCATACAATAATACATATTTAACTTAATGTGAATGGTGTTAACATGGGGTCATTGATGGGGTCATTGTGGGACGAAAAGATGGGCTAAAGGTTTTATGTGAAACCTGTGGGAGAGCTAAAGTGATTCTAGTGGGGCCACCAGGGTGTAGATCATTAATGGGAAAACGTTTTTTAGTGGTGGAGTTTGAGCTGAGATAAGTAACATTGAATGTTTTGTTGTTTTAAATATGAATAAAAACATGCTCATGAACATTGTGTTTTATATTATGCTATTTGAATTTGCATGTGATAGAGCAGCAATGGTGATGTTTCTAGGTGGAGCTCAGAGGAGGCAGCATGTCTGTGGTGAGGCTGAAGATCCCTGTTGTGTCTCAGGTTATCTGTCAGATCAGCGCTACCTTGGAGCTACGGTGGGCCGCGTGGCCAACAGGATCGCACGGGGGCGCTTTGTGGTGGAGGGGAAAGAGTACCGACTAGATATCAATAATGGACCCAATGCACTGCATGGAGGGCTGCGAGGCTTCAATAAGGTAAGACAGGAAGTGGATGAGCATCCGTGCAGACAGGGGATTTCTTGATAATACTCATCTGTTTTTGCTGTACTGTAATACGACATGTTATTACTGAGAACACTGCTCACTAAATGTTGCTTTCTAACTGTGGAATGAGCGTCACAGACATTCTGCTGGGTCTCATCTATTATCAGGATAAATGTTCATTAATCCATGTGGAACAAATGTGCTCCCTATAACTTCAGACTGAGCCATATAATCATTTATTCATTTTATTAGTCAGCTATGCTTACAGCGCTGTTAGGCTGTAATTATACCTCCGGGGACTCGGTGCACATCAAAGGTGCCGAGCTGCACACCAGAGAGCATCTGAGAGCACACATGAGGGGGGGTCCATGCAGCTGATGGGGCTGCTTTGGCTTTATCAGGGAAACAGAGGAACGCACAATGTTCTGTGAGTGTGTTGAGTGTGTACATTCTTATGCCTCATATTACTACAAAACTAAATGACTGACCTAGAGGTACATCCACTTCAGTGAAAGTTGAGTTACACACAGATTAGTGTTGTATTCAATTTGACAGGACCAGTGTTTGTATCCCTTGATCCGGCTGTAGCTTGCAAATCTGCCTCTGCAGTCAACATGTCCAAGTGTACTTAGGCATGACACTGAACCCCAAATTGTTCCTGTAGGCATGTCTACGGTATTGAGTGTATGTATGTAAGGTGCTTTGGATTGGGCCATGTAATAATAATAACTTCCCTTCATAATGCTGTATGTGTCTGAAAACAATTTCATAACATTCATCTGCTACTTAGTAATTATCTATTATCTAATATATCATTCCAATAACTTGTATATAGACTCGTATTGCACTATTCCACTTTTGTATTACTTTTAATATAATATACTTTAATATTGCTTTAATATTGTCTGCTTATCTGTATTATTGTGTTGCATTGTTGGAGAAGCCTGTGACCTAAGATTTCCAACGACATAATTACTCTGTAGCTATGTTAGCTTGACAATAAAGAACCTTGAACCTTGAACATATCTCTTCAGGCGATCTGGCTGGCTACAGCAGTGGAAGGCGGAGTACAGCTGAGTCTTACCAGTCCAGATGGGGACCAGGGTTATCCTGGAGAGGTGCAGGTCTCTGTCTCCTACACACTGCAGGTGAGCACATCTGACCTGCATCCCCAACACTTCTCTATTTTTCAACACAGTGTGCAAACAACTTTGGATGAACAGGATGTGGAGGAATGATAGTATTTGTTTATAAAAGTAGGAGGAATACTTCTAATTTCCTCAATACATTTAGCTTAGACATAGCCGAAACCATCTTCAATGTGTATTTAGTTCCACTAATTAAAAAAGGAAACTTGTTCGACTTTATATTTAAAAAATATGTTTTAACCCACACATGAAATTGGTTTAAATTGTGAACCAGTGTTTTACAGAGGCAAGCTGAGTAAGGTTTGTGTTGTGTGTTCAGGGGGAAACTCTAACTGCTGAATACCAAGCCCGCTCTACAAAGACCACCCCCATCAATCTCACCAACCACTCATACTTCAACCTGGCGGGACAGGTAAGACGCATGATCAGCTGAAGGTCATCCCACATACACTCTCAGTCATCATAATTCTGATCATCTGTTATGTGATGGAAACTTCTGAAGCAAAGGAAACGAAACTCAGAGAGACACGAGGAGAGCAGGAACTTTGATGGCAAACACTGATGATTTATTTGGAGCTTTGGCCGGAGAATTCACAAGTGCCACGAGTTGACCACACGGTAGATGCCAAACGATTCTGAAGATATCTACCCCAGACCCATGTATTTAGCTAGTTCTGAGAGAAGAATCAACATTGTGCATAACAAGATAGAATGATAACACCTCTATCAGCTGACGTTAGCAGGCAGGAACAGAGAGACAAAGCACTGAGAGGGCAGCTGTGCTCAGCGAGGGCAATACAAACTGATAAACTGGGTCAAAGTTAAGGGCCTTGGAAAATATTTCCCCAACATGTTAGAATGAGGAAAGTGAAGCTAGAGGAAGGCAGCAGTAAAGGAGGTAGGCTGGGAGAGATGAGGTCAGTAGGTGGTTCAGATCTGCTGAGAAAGAGAAACCTGAGAACAAACAACACACAAGGTCATATGTTGACACACACACACACACACACACACACACACACACACACAGGAACTACATTAACATTTGACCTTCAAAGAGAAGTCAACTACACTTGTATACATTCAAGTAAGAACTCCTCTATCCAAACTATTCTTGATATATTATAACATTCAACTTTTTATAACTTCATCAATCCCTGCCAAAGAGGGTCAGCACTTAGTTTAAACCCAAACCAAGGAATTAATCAAAATACTTCATTATTCCCAGGCAGGAATTAGGTTTTGTGACACTTGCACCATATTAGAATAAAACAAATTAAATATGTATATAACGTAAATCGAACATGTGCATCTGAGACTTTGTTTTCTGACATGTTAAACACTGAATATTGATTTCAAACCTACCCTAACCCCCGCGCTGTTTCCCACCGGCACTTGGGATGGGTTGCTGAGTAAAGCCGTTTCCTCACTAACTAACTACAACTAACGCTGCTGATTGCTGACGACACACAGTAACCATGTGACTCACATGCTGTGTGTGTGTGTGTGTGTGTGTGTGTGTGTGTGTGTGTGTGTGTGTGTGTGTGTGTGTGTGTGTGTGTGTGTGTGTGTGTGTGGTGTTGTGTGTGTGTGTGTGTGTGGTGGTGTGTGTGTGTGTGTGTGTGTGTGTGTTGTGTGTGTGTGTGTGTGTGTGTGTGTGTGGTGTGTGTGTGTGTGTGTGTGTGTGTGTGTGTGTGTGTGTGTGTGTGTGTGTGTGTGTGTGTGTGTGTGTGTGTGTGTGTGTGTGTGTGTGCAGGCTGCAGCAGATATCTACGACCATCAGGTGTCCATCAGTGCTCAGTCCTACCTTCCTGTGGATGACTCATCAATTCCAACTGGTAAATGACTAAGTGATTTATTTAGATGAAGTGTGATTTATGTAATAACTTCACAGCAGTTGAATGCACCATGTATAAGTACGTATAATACATTATCTACAATGCTCTTAACTACCACAACAAGTTCATGTTTTGAACAAAAATAACAAAATGATTCCCCCTAAACAAAATGAAAAGTCTACTCTGCCCATATGTTTTATTATTAAATAAAATGAAATAGACTGTGAGTTTTTGTTATTTAAGTAAAGATTAGTGACAACCCAGTGACAACGACATTTGCTCAACCCAGTTTCATTATTTATGTGTATCTGTCATTGGGCTCTTTAACTTTTGCAAACTAGAGCTCGGTGCAACTAGCCAATAAAAAGGGCAGATGGCGCTAAACAATCTGTAACATCTTGCATCCGAGCTTTATAGACGAAGATGTTATATCAAAAAGTTGAATCATATCAATTATACATTTAATAAAATACAATCAGTGTGTTAACATGTAGATGAAGACACATGGTCTGAAATAAGTGTCCTCTATGGCTGGACTGTGGGCAGTGTGTCTCAGTGTGTTTATTAGTCATAATGTAAACTCTTTCATCATGTGTATATAGTGGTTCCATCAATGCTAGTTTTGAAGTATCCCGCACATGGATACTAGAAGTCCCACAGAGGATTGTTCACGTCTTTTGTTTTTGAAGAGCAGCGGCCAATGTGTGAACATTAAACTCGAGCGACCAATGGGGTCCCTTCATCACTCCCTGAGGCGCTGCATGGGGCTGGCCCTGCTCTGCTTTGTTCCAACAACTGCAGCCACAACTATCAGTTACCCCTTTTCCACTGAGGCACTTCCAAGGTCAATTTGGAGATGGTGCCTGGTGGCAAACCAGGTTATGTGTGTCCCAGAGGTCGCGTTAACCGAATATTTTCCGTCTATGACGGAAAAATCTGAAAGCAGTCCGTCATTTTCACGGATTAAAACAAACTCGGAACAGCGCTAAAGTTTCCCCGCAGCGAGGCTCCGGTGTTGAGCATGCCGGCCAAAAAGGAAATGATACCGTTTCCAAACCCAACTTTGCCGTACAAATCATTGAAATGTCTGTGAGTTTTGGCTTTACTCCCGCGAGGTGCGGTGGGCATAACACGGCGCTAACAGTTCACGACTGTGCCCCCCCCCCCAGAGTGTAAAGACCGACGGGTAATACTGAATTTTGACGGAAATGTTACGATCCTGTCCGTCAAAATGACGGGCAGTGAAAAAGTCTAGCGCAACCTCTGGTGTGTCCACTGTGGCTCTAAAGTTGGTTCAACTCGGGCACCAACTATTTGCCGGCCGTCACCAAGAGCAAACTGTGTTGGAGCAACAGCTCAGTTAGTGACACAAAAAGCTGAAACACTTTGACTGACTTTGCTTCCTCTCCATCTTTACTTTCTCCTCTAACAACCATCCCTTGTCTTATTCTCCTTAACTCAGTCCTTATACCTTGTATTAATGTTAAATCAACCATCACCCTGTGCTATGCACAGTATAAACTAATGAGTGTTTTTGCAACTGCTAGTACAGCAGTGTGGAATCACTTGTTCTTTTGTGTTGGAGGCTTCATGCTCTGTCAGACAAACATTCTCATTACCCTGCAATTAGCTCTGGTTTCCCCTGGAGACAGAGGAGCTAATGACTGTTTATCTTTATCACAGAATCTGTGTTAGAATGGAAATCCACCTCCAGGGCTGAATAAGATTCGGATTTAAAAAATATGGAAGCAATTCTGTGCCATGCAGAGGTAAAGCAGTAAGCCTGCCTACTTTCTCTGTGCTCTCTGCAGATAAGTAGGAGGATAGTGTGAGGATGAGTTTTGTTTTTCTCACCCAAAAAGGGAGCTTCTCTTAAGCAGTATCAATCTGATAATGGCCTTGTGTCATTCAGTGTATTATTTTACAAATCAATGAGGTAAGCTGCCCACTGAAGGTCTGTGGCAGTGAAGTTAAGGAGCCTGTCAGTCAGAACCAGTACACAGTCTCACAGGGATGATAACATCCTGATGCTCCGCTGCTGCTGCAGCAGCAGGAGGGTGTGTGTGGCTGGCTGTGTGTGAACCCTCGTCCCAGCTGGGGGCTGTGTGACAGCAGGGTTAACAATTAAATGGTATGTCAACTTTCTTGGGCGCAATACAGTCTACTGCATGGGTGTCCAAACTTTTTTTACCGAGGGCCACATACAGAAAAATACACAAGGCCTGGGCCACTCACTAGAGGTTTATTACCTCATAAGTTCAGTTATAAGTTGAAAAAAATCCTCCAATGTAGGTTAATTATTCTTGATAGAGGTACTTGAAAATGCTTTAAGAAAAAAACTGCCGACATCACAGCTCTCCATAGGGTTTCATTTATTTTGTTAGTAGCTCATTCCTTAAAACAGACGCTTCAGATTGCTGATAATAAGAGGAAATATGAAGGGTATATTTCAAGTGTGAGGGAATCATTCTGTCTTACTTCTAAGATATTTAACCTTTCTGCCTGTTGACATGTGACCAACCCTGACTCAGTTATCTGTCTTAAGGAATGGGAGGCCTCAGCTATAATGTTGATATTAGTTTTATGACCGGTCAACTCTCGGTCACAGAGCCTAACGGACCGTCCACACAGCGGCGTGCGTTGAAGCTTCCAACGCTTCTGCCCATTCACTTTGAATGGGGTGACGTCACTTTTAGCCGAACTGCATTTTGGGAAGCGACGTGGAGCGTTGCTGGCGTCAAAAGTTGAGCAATGTTCAACTTTTGACGCCTCGATGGAGGCGTCAGCCAATGAAATCCCGTTTATGCAAATCTGCCAGTATAAGCACTAGCCAATCAAACCGCGTGTATGCTGGGAGAGACTACGCAGGTCATTTCCTCATATTCAAAAAAATGGAGGGAAAATTCATTGTAGCGGTAGTGAATCACCCGGTGCTGTATGATCAGTCTCTGTTCATCTACCGGGATACAAACCGGAGGAGCGAGGCATGGAGGGAGGTGGCAGAGACAGTGGGTGAAACTGGTAGGTTTTCGCCTGTTTGGGGATTTTATATCCAGTTTACTTCGTTTTAACATTGCTATTGCTTTGTATGTCGGGGGCGGGCGATTCATGTGATTGGTTGTTGGTCGCGTTGCTCGCAAAAAACCCCCAAGCTTCAGATACGCCCAGCTTCAAGCGTCAACGCACGCTGCTGTGTGGACGCTCCGTAAGAGTCAGACAAGTGATTGAGTGTCTGCAGATGTTGGAGCTATCTCCAGTGTTCCCAGAACTCTCTGTAAACTAGTTAAAAGGTCTATCGAGAGAGAGGCTGGACAGAATTGATGTGGCAACCCACCCGTGCAGTCAGAACCTCTTGCTGCTGTGACTTGTGATATGAATTCTCCGGTCGATACTTGTAATAAACTACCAGTGTTTAACATCAAAGCTCCAACTCTCCTCGTGTCTCTCTGAGTCCTGACTCTCCATTGCCGCAGAAGTTTCCCTTACATCAAGGTTGTTGTGAAAATAAGTTATTGGGCTTTTTCTTATCAACTTAGATTTGTTGGAACATGTTTTCAACTTTAATTGACTGAATTTATTTGAAAATTGGGCTTATTAACACATGAATACTTTGTAATATATTTGAACATATTTAAGAAGTACAATATAAGACAAGCAGAAGTTTATTATACTTAAGTCATTATACTTTTTTAATTTGCTGAGGGACGATTAAAAATGGCCAGCGGGCCGTAGTTTGGATACCCCTGGTCTACTGTATGTTCCAGTTTGGACGTAACACAAGGCTCTTTAGCTAAGAACCATAACTGAATAACCAATGAGTCCTGTGATGTTGCTGAGATTGCTTCCTTTCAGAGAACAGAAGGGTCCCGTCGGCTTTTCTCCAGTGATACACACTCTCTAACCATATGTCCTCTATCTGCAGGAGAGATCCGCCGGGTGAAAGGCACACCCTTTGACCTTACCACACCTGTTCTGATTGGCCCTCGGCTGAAGGAAGTTCCGGGTCCTGGGTTTGACCATAACTTCTGCCTGTCGTTCCCTGGAGACAGCTGGACAGAAAGAGATGCTGCCAGGTTTGCTGCAGAAGACACATTGACACATACTACACACACACATTTGTCTTTAATGAAGTCTATAGCAGGAATACTTCTTTCTTCATCTCAGAGTGTGTCACCCAGCTAGTGGGCGGGTCCTAGAGGTTTCTACAAGCCAACCTGGAGTCCAGTTCTACACTGCCAATTTCCTGGATGGTCTGACAGGAAAGGGGGGGGTGAGGTACAGGAAGCACAGCTCCTTCTGTCTGGAGACGCAGAACTGGCCTGATGCCGTGAACCAGGTGAGAGGCTCCTCATCCAAACACACTGCATGTTACTGAGAGGGTCCTGTTGTATCTGTTGTATCTTGTTGTATCCGTTATAAAGGCTACCTTGTTAGAGAGATTGGTGCTTTGGTACAGGTGATGTGTTCCAATCCTACAGGTCGAATAGGGTTGACCGAATAGATCGCAACCTTGGTTTCCACAGAATCATAATGTTGTATATAATGTTGTGTGTGTGTGTGTCTCTCGTAAGGCTCCCTTTCCTTCCTGTCTCCTGTGTCCCGGTGAGGACTACCATCATGTGACTCGCTTCACCTTCACCACTGTGTGACCTCCAGCAGGACAGACAAGAAGAAATCTAGAGAAGGACGTCCAATTGTTGATTGCACATATAATTGTTTGCAGTATGATCAGGAAGCATAAGCCTCATCCCAGTACCCCTCCCCGAACTCGCGTCCCTTCCTTGCATCTTAGCTCCGCCTCCGTAAGATGCGAGCGAGAGACACGTGGAGGAGACGCGAGGACAAAGGAGTCCTCAGGTATTAATTGGGATGTCCTCGTTCACTCAAACGTCACTTTTAAACGACGTCTGTTAATGATGACATGTGCACAGCTGTATCCCCTCTCATCGGGCTTAACTGAATAATCCTTTAGAACCGGCCCATTTGTTGTTAAATATGTATTTAAATGAATGAATCTTTCTCTTGTTAGTCAAGGAATTCAAAGTATGATGGTTGGTCCTGCTTTTGTGTTCCGTTTTGGTGTAAAATGTAGCCTACATTTAAATACAAATATAATTATAGTAATGTGAAAGCCTTTTAGAAATGAATTGCACATAATAATTCCCACGGAGCTGTGAGCACTTATACATTTATGTGACGCTTTTCCACTCATCTTCCAGTTCTCCATTTTCCTCTGTTGAAATCGACCAGCTGTGAAGGTGGGGGCGGGGCTTTTATACGAGAGTAGTGAAAACATTTCCGCGTAGTCTGCTCGCGTGTATCCTCCCTTTCGTCTCCTCCCGCACCCCTCCTCCCTCACCCCTCCTCGACTCCTCCGTGTGCATTTCAGCTATTGGGACGTCCTTCAAAATGGCGTGTCTTGATCGATTTCCGGGTCAAGTCCCGGAGGAGGGGAAGAGAGGAGTCGAGGAGGGGTATTGGGATGAGGCTCTAGTGTTCATCAGACGGTGCCTTTCTCACTTCCCCTTTGTGTAACTGTGTCATGTGATGCAGATGTTTTGAATGTGGATGATTTCAGTGCAGCGAGCTGTGATGCAGAGAGGGACTCTGACTATACTCTGTTAGTTATAATGATGTATCATCCTGTGCCATACAATTATTACTTTAACAAAGAATACATAAAGAGCCTTCTCAACCAAGCTGCTGTTGTTGTTACTATTGGTTGTAATTTGTTCTTTATAGCAACAGATCAGTCCCTGTCTATGGATATATTGTGGTCCAGTATTAATAATTTAGAGGGCCATAATTTCTGTTAGGAGCATTACCTGTGTTCAACATCCTCCACAGGCTGAGCTATTCCTATAACATCAAGTGAGGAGGCGGGTTTGGGTGAGAGGACATCTTACACTGAGAGAGACATGCTGTGTAGCTATGGCAACATACGTAATCTATCCAAGAGGCTTAAATCAAATGTAATGGTCGGTGTGAGCCTCACTGCCACAGAGCTGATCCAACCAGGGAGCAGAGAGACTGCCGCTGACCCCAGCTGACCAGAGGTGGGGACTCGAGTCACATGACTTGACTCGAGTCGCATATTTTTTGACTTGAGACTTGCATTGATAAAAGTCTTGACTTTGACTTGGTATTCATGACTTGAGACTTGACTTAAGCTTAAGATAGATGACTTGAAAGGACTTGACTGTTTAAAATTAAATATTTGCATTTGTTTTTGTAGTGAGATATTACGTTTAGTTTTTTCGAAAAACGTCATTATAGCGCCATGCGCGCAAACCTGGCAACCCACTAGAACTGAGGTTACCTACTGTAACCCCAGCTTCTATGAGTAAATGGCACAGCCCTCTAAGGCTATCGCTATTGGGTAATCCCCCTGCGGCCCCGCGCAGCACTGAAACACTTGTAGTCCACGCTTCCTTCCGGTATAAATAGGAAGGAGGCCCGACAATCTGCTCCCATACAACATAACTTTTCTTCAGCTATTCGTAGAGCCAGTGGGGCCCAGCGCTTAGAGGGCTGCGCCATTTACTCATAGAAGCTGGGGTTACAGTAGGTAACCTCAGTTCTATTTCGTATATGGCTTCGCCCTCTAAGGCTATCGCTATTGGGTTAAGGGCGAAGCATGATGTAGTCTGCGCCCCACTGGGTCCGCCCAGCACTAGAAGCACAGACACACCTGCTCAATAACACCCCCTGCCTGTTGTGCCATGCGTAATGGCGCCTCACCGTCCCTGGAACATAGCAAAACATGCCTATCTTCCCGACGGGGTGAAGGCTGGGAACAATACATACCGGCCGCTGTGAGAAAGTAGAGACGAAGGTCCCACCTTGTCCTGCGATCATAGAGGGGGAACAGCAGCTCTCTGCATGTCAGACAGGTACACTGTAAACAATTACCAGCATTTCACAACATTTAACAGTATTATTTTACAGTGACATATTATAATCAAGGCCCCCTGTATTATCCCAACAAATACATGTAAAAAGGACTGTATCCTTGGATTTCACAGCATTTAACTATTATTTCACAATAAAATACTGCAATCAAAATCCTCTGTAATATCACATCAAATGTTGTAATATCACAACAACATTGTAAAAATTGCAAGGATTTCACAGCATTTAAGAGTATCATATTACAGAGAAATATTGTAATCAAAAGCCCCTGTAATATCACAACAAAATATCTATAAAACAGTAGAATTGGATTTCACATTATTTAACTATTATTTCACAGTAAAGCACTGTACTCAAAATCATCTTAGCACAACCATGATAGACTGTATATATAAAGAGCACAACGCATTACTGTAAAATTTGAATTGTGCACCATTGCACATGTGCAGAATAGACTATTCTAACCGGCGTGTGTCCTGGCAACCTTGTCTCCTAAAAATTACGTTCCCACAGAACTAAACTGCATTCTCAATTACGTTTAGCTAGAAATGTATTTTTGCAACGATTCCAGGGATGCCTGACTTGAGTTTCTAGCACCAGGGAAAGTGGAAAAAGTGCCCCAAATCAGCGTCTTAATTTACCCAGGGCCTAGTGCTTGGCTTTCGGCATGAAAATTCAGGAAACTCCCCTGAGCATTTTAGTAAATATCTCAACTTTGGAGAGGACATCCGAGAGGAGTTTTTTTCAGACAATATTGAGAGATAAATAGTAGCAGTTCTCACTATGTGTTAAATATCTTTGCCTTCAATACATTAAATTAGAAAGCTGTCATATTGCTAAATATCTAAAATGTAACTTTTTGCATGGATAAAACCCTCAACTTAACTGATGTGTAGGTGATCTAGTATTTAGTATTGTTTAATGGAATGTATATCAGTGTATTCAAGTCAATACTTCATTCATTTAAACCAATATCTTTCTTGATTCTTTGTACAGTATGACAAAAGAGTCTTTGTACCTGTGCTGAAGTTCACTGCTGTGAGGAGTCCAGTTCTGTCTCTCACTCTCTGGTCCAGCCTGTCTGCATCACATGGACACCTTAAACAAACAGATATATATGTAAAGTACCATGTGTACAAACAATATAACTGATTCTCTTCTGTTGAACATGTTGGATTGTGTATGGTCCGAGTCAGGGGCCTTTTTATTTTACTGTAACTTTGGAAGTTGTGTTACCAATGCTTACTGTTTATTTGATACCCATTTGGTAATGCGATTAATAAAAACAACAAGGTTTGGGTTCGTTCTTCAGATGACTGTGACGTTAACGTGTAACGTTAACGTCAATAATGAACTCCAGCTCAACCAACCATATTGTAATATCTAAGTAATCATCTTGAAATATGATTAAATCTTATTGGGAGGTTGATTTCACATACACTACTTCGACGTTAACTTGTCTACATACTTGAGCATAGCCAATTTAAATTAACCTTAGATGCATACAGTTCTACCTACATAATAAAATATCTCTAAATTACAAGGATGACCTTATTTTATCAACCTCAAACAGAAGCCGTTTGTTCAACAGTATTATCCCACTTAACGCTTGTCTATTTCGTTTTAACCTTTATATATACACAGTCTATTATTTTAACTTGGAGGCTACGATTAGCATCGTTAACACCGATGTAGCTACCACTCGCTACATGCTAACCCAAGCCTTAACATTAATTACGTAGCTGATTAAAATCATTAAAACATAAATAAAGCACTCGAATTTCACTTACCGCAAAACCGCATTCATGCACCGTCTGTTTTAACCGCAGAGCGAGTCACAATAGTCCGATAAATAAGCATGAAGAACAAACAGCCACGGCCGGCTTCAAGTTGTGTTTCCTGGATGAGCTGAGCAGGCAGAGTGCCTGTAGCTAGCTTCACGGAGCAGGTAGCAGAGAGACGAGAAGCTAGCAGCAGCAGTCACTTGACAGAGCCGTCACTCAATGTGACCACGCCCTAATTTATGCAAAAACGTTAAGACCTAATATAAATAAAAGGGTCGTGTTAGAAAACAATTCACTCACAGATCCATAATCATGAAGGTGGAATCTAACTATATCGATAATAAAATGTATGGAGCCAGGGGTAGAAACATGTTTTTTTCTGCTGTAAAATTGGGAATTTTAACATGGGGGTCTATGGAAATTGCTCCTTTCTGCAGCCATCGCCTATCGGCCAATATATGAACTACAGTGTGTGGCACTTCCGTATTGGTGTCCCGGCTATTCCCCAGAGTTTGCCCCTTGGGACTAACGGCCCGTCTACACTACAGGCGTCAAAAAATGCTTTCAACGCTTCGCCCATTCATTTGAATGGGGTGACGTAGGATATTTTCAAACTTCGCCGAACTGCATTGTGGGTAGCATGGCAAGGCGTTGCAAGCATCGCGAGCGTCTATCGGCGTCAAAAGTTGAACAATGTTCAACTTTTGACGCTCGATGCTTGTTCGAAGCTGGCGTCAGCCAATCAAATCCCGTTTTTGCAATTCCCGCCAGTACAAGCGCTAGCCAATCAAACCGCGTGCAAGCTGGGAGAGCCAGACCGCAGTTCATTTCCTCATATTCCAAACGAGAAATTACGGTAGCAAATCACCCGGTTCTTTCCGACCAGAACTATTTACCGGGATACAAACCGGAGGAACCAGGCATGGAGGGAGGTGGCAGAGACAGTGGGTGAAACTGGTAGGTTTTCGCCTGTTTGGGGATTTTATATCCAGTTGACTTCGTTTTAACATTGCTATTGCTTTGTATGTCGGGGGCGGGAGATTCATGTGATTGGTTGTTGGTCGCGTTGCTCGCAAAAAATCGCCAAGCTTCAGACACGCCCAGCTTCAAGCTTTTTCGATGCCTGTAGTGTAGACGGGCCGTAACGCGTTATGCTACGTTCACACCGGACGCGATGCGACATTTGGGGGCGGCGCGATTACATGTAAAGTCAATGCAGAGACACGATCAGATGCAAATTCGCTCCGACGGCGCGCATGAAGCGGTGGACGCGGCGCGAATCACGCGATTGAGGCGATTGAAGGGGGCCGCGTCAAACGCGAGAGTTACATTTTTTCAACTCGGGCT